CCAAGCTAATGCAATAGCACAACTATCAGGGGTCCATCTTAAACATCTTACACGACCTGGTCTTCCTGGATAATCTTTGGAAGATAAACTTAATGTATGTGACATTTCTAAACTTCCAGTTGTTTCATCAACATAGTACACTACACCTTCAGAGCTAATAATAAAATATGCATTAAATAAGTCATTAATTTCTTTAAATGTAAATTAAAATTATTAAAAAAAGTATACTTTTGTCTTCCAATTGCAATAAGACGATATTTATGATTTACAGCTGCACAAGTAGCATCATCAACATCTCTAGCCCAAATTCCTTGTACTTGCTAAAAAATAATAATATTATTTTAAAATATTTATTTATAAATTCGAACAAAGTAATTAACATACATTAGGATCAAATTTTAATGATTGTGCTGTGAGAAATGCTGCTTTGCCAGTATTGAGTACAATTGCAAATCCACCAACTAAAGGAGAATATTCAATATCGGTAACATACACATTATTCTCAGTAAGTGGTATAGCTACAGTAGATATTTGTTGATCTACACTAAATGGTATTCTCCTTAGATCAAGAGAATAATCTCGATTTATTGTACCATCCCATTTATGACGTATTACATGACTGGTTTTTGTAGCTACCATAAGCTCATCACGTATACAAACTAAAGAACTAATTCCACCATCTATCCAAGCTGATTTTTCCTAAATAAAAGAATAATTAGTTTAATAAATTAAATAATCCATATGATAAAAAAATATATTGTACATTTACTTACAAATGTTAAAACTAGGGAAGGAATAATTTCTTTAATAAAAAGTTCAGCACTATCTCTTTTTAAACTGGTAACTGGAGAATCTCTCTGTTCATAGAGACCTCTTCCTTCTGGGCTGGTGTCTTGCAATCGATAAAATAACAGGTAACTATCTGTTGTCTGAAAATATATTAATAATATAAAATTTCTTCTTGTATGAAAATTTAATTGATTATCATTTCTCATACCGCAATGACAATCATGCTGGAATCTGGCCTCCATTGTACCAAAATATTGTCACCATATTTCTTTAAAGAATCTGTAGTTCGTCTAATAAATACAATAGGTACACAAGGCTAGAAAAAAAATGACAATCTGTCTGTTACATTAAAAAAGTACATGGTCTTTTATATTTACAAATTTAAAAAGAAAGTTAATTTATATAATAGATGAAGAATTTTATAATATATAACAATTATAAAATAAATGAAAGAAATAAAGCTACGAAATATTTATTAAATATAATTTTTAATTATAAGAAAATATGCATTTAATATTTAGTATTAATCATAAAAAATAATTATTCAAAACGCATAAGAAGATTACGATACGCATAGTAGGATTATTACGCTAATTTATAATACCTTACAATACCAGATGGTAAGAGTATCTGTTGTTAAGATTGCGAAAAGTATTTTATCCCTGTTGCAAACAACCGCAGTTATTTTTTCTGGATCTATCGTATTTAGAACTCGCGGCCATCCAATAGGAAAAAACATGATTTCGCCTTAAGATTGTTCGTCTTTTACGTTCACATTCCTGTTATATTTAAGTTGTCTTTGGACTTCATATATTGTCTCAAAGAATCTGACAAGTAAACATATCCTAACCTCATCATTTTACGCAAAGCATAAATATTAACACCACAGACTAAGGATTAAATAGAGTCCTATCATCTAATGTAACCGAGTAGCTACATAGTATCCATTACCATTCTTATGTCACATGCGACAATATCGATTTAGAATAGAATGAAATAACAGCGCCATTGGAATAATACATGAAAGCAATTAGAAGAATGTAATACGTAAAAAAGTGGCATTACGTATAAAATCACAAATTTTTATTCAAATTTTGCTATTTTACATTAAAAGAATATATTTTAAAATAATTGATATTATTCCATGCTAAATTTCAATGGTGATTTTAAAAACGCTATTTTACATTTTATATATAAGTTAAAAAAAGTAAATTGAAAATTTTTCAGAGATCAGCGCCATCTCGTGTTTGGATCATCGAAGCTTCGATTTGTTACTAACATAGTATAATAGATAAAGAGGTATTTGATTCGCCTAAAAGTAAATTGAAAATTTTTCAATTAGAGATCAGCGCCATCTCGTGTTTGGATCATCGAAGCTTCGATTTGTTACTAACATAGTATAATAGATAAAGAGGTATTTGATTCGCCTAATATGATAGACAAGAAAAGTAATATTGTGCGAGAAGGACAAAAAATATTTTTCGCCATTTTGAGAACGCTATATGGAAAATTAATTAATCATTCGTTTTCCATACAAAATTTTTGTACTTTTAAGCTTGCGTTTTGAAGTTAAAAATTCAGGCAAATTTTTCGTATCAATTTTAATATAAAATTCTTCTTCAATAATTATTTATTAACAATTAACGTGTCATAGGTTTTAATATCACATCGATCGATACCATATTGAAAATTAACTAATTATTCTTTATTCTGATCAAAATTCGGACTCTTTGAAGCTTGTATCTTTAAATCAATACTTTTGAAAAGTTTCTGGTATCGATTTTAACGTGAAATTTTCTTTAATTAATTATTTATTAACGATTATTATGAAAAATGTTTCAATCGTTAATCGAGTAATAAACAATTAATTTATTCATCTAAATAACAGAAAAGTTATAAATAAAATTTACACATGAAAATATGATAGAAAACAATCTTTTAAATGCATATAATCTTAATTAGAAATAAATCTCATATTTATGAAAGATTAATTTAAAAATCTATTATGTTTTAATATTGCGTCATTTCAATATGACGTTAATAAATAATTAATTAAAAAGTACTTAATATGAGGAAAATTAATATAAGAAACTTGCTTAATGTTCTAGTTTTAAGATACGAGTTTAAAAATGCAAAAATTTTTAGTGAAAAATTAATAATTAATGAAATTAATGATATTTAATATGGCGTCTTCGATATATTAAAACGACATTTATTAATCATTAATAAATAATTAATAAAAACGAATTTCACATTAAAAATGATATAAGAAATTTATTTGAAGTTCTAACTTCAAGATGAGAGCTTAAAAGTAGAAATTTTGAGTAGAGAAAACGTATAATCAATGGGTTTTTCATGTCGTATTCTCAAAGTAGCGAGAAATATTTTCTGTCTCTCTTGCACAATAATGTTTTCCTTGTCTGTGACGTCACGCAAGTCGAATACCTCTTTGTCTATTCTGCTATGCTAATAACAAATCGAAGCTTCAGCGATCCAAACACAAGATGGCGTTGATTCTCAATTCTCATTTTATCTTATTCAAAAAATGTCTTTAACATTTAAGAGATGGCATTAATAGTCAATTCTTATCTCATCTCTATCCTTCTCCCATTATTTGCTTTCCTTGCACGTGATCATAAATAAAGTGGGGAGGTGATGAATAAAACATACTTTTATCATTTCTCTTTTAAAATTTTATTGTATCTTAGATATAGATTATAAAAACATGTTTTCACTTAATATATTTATAATCACAATATTTTTTTAAAAGTATAAAATAAAAACACATAAAATAATCATCAATTTATTTATACAGATGTAATTTAAATAACATTTAATAGAATTATTCAAAATGTAATATAATATTGATAGATTTGGAAAATTATTGTATCAATACATGTTTTGAGAATATTTATCTATTAATTATTATTATTTATAATGAATATTTTTATATTATACTTTAAAATATTCAAATGTATTGCTGGTCGAGTATCACGAATATATATCTGTTTAACATAGATATGTTCTACTTATTCACGACTTCGAAGTCTGTACATTATTCGTAATATCACAGAACCTCATCATCGAACCTTTTTACAAACTACCACTGTTTACATATTTAGGATAAATTCGACGCTTACATCGGGCTTACTATTATTATTATTAAAATATTATTATTTACATTTTTTTCTATGCATAAATCGCGTATTAAATATTATATAATTAAAATAGATAAATAAAATCCTATAAGTATCCTTTTAAATACATTCATTTTCGGCGATTATGTGTAGCCAAAATATTAAACATTCTCAAAATTATTTCGAAAAATTAAATAAAAATAGAAATTCCAAGAAGAATAATTAATTATCGTTGTGTAAAATTTAATTTACTTTAAACGATTACTTTTGTAAGAAGCTTATTAAATAAAATATGTAATTGTAATATCCAATAGAATATATGCAACTTCTAATAGAGCCAAGTGTACCAAACTAATAATTACACTTGTAAGTACATAATTCGATGTATTATCTTATTTAATTTCGAGTAAATGTATCGATTATTCTTCGAAAATCTTTCGTATAAACGTCTTTAAAATTATTCTTCTTC